CCAAAAGACCGCGAGCTGGACCTTGTGCTTGTTGTAATAGAAGACAATAACAAATGTTGTTAACATAATTTTTTAATAAAACTATTTTTATGGATTTTATTGGTGTTCTTTTGCGACGATTGGTGGTCTATTAAATCTAATACACCGATTCCTACCAAATTGAAATTAAAAAAACATTATATTTACAATAGATGGATGGGTGCTACCATCTGCTTGGGATCCTATGATTAACAAAATTAAATCCAAACCCAAGCATACCACTGGCAACTGTAAGCTCGTTTTGCGTAAATCGAACCCAACATTAATATTCAAAACCTGAAGGTAGCCGGGTTAACTATGACAGCGGAACGTCAAACATCTCAGTCTTCGTGAAACCGTCCCGTCCAGGCCGTGGTCATGGATGTTGTAAAGCACTCGAAACATTGAGAATAAAAAATAAGAAAATTAAACGCGATAAAATCAGTAAAAATAGTTTTATTCAATGTGTAGTGTGGTATATATTCGCGTAAATATTATAAATAATAATTAGAATTTTTTTAAGATACAAAGCAAAGTTATACAAAGTGTAATTGAATTTTACTATTGTAAATCATGTTAAGTGACAACAAAGATCATCATCATCATCATTACAGGCCTTTCACAAGTCCACTGCTGAACATGGGCCTCCCCAAACCAGCACCCCCCTATCACTTCCTGCATGTATTACCAAGTCGTCACTCTATCTAGTGGGGGGTCCTGGGGGGGGGGTTGATCCGTTATATGTTTTATTTTAAAAATTACAGGCATTTATAAAAAAATCAAGAAAATCTAACCCTGTGATGGTCTTTTTACTCCTGTTGCTATAAATTTAGACTTTTTTTTTTAATTTTCATTATTTATTTCATTTATTAATTTTTACCCAGTTTAAATGACGGTGCTGAAAAATAAATATACTACACGAGTTTGGCAAGTAACTTTAAAATTTAGCGCATTTAATAAGGATAACGCTTGCAAGAATATTTGTTAAATTATGATTTTTTTTAAAGAAACCCAGTTGCATATTTATTTTCCTTACCTGTCTAAAATGATTTTGTGTATGTACCCTAAGGCTTTATTCAAGACTATTACTTAAGATTCTAGTTCGAGTGAAACGGAACCAGCTGACGAAATGTGATTATAATGGATTCCATTATCGGAGAACAAGGAGGCGATAGTGATAAGTTTGTTGTTGAACGGGTTTGAACGGGTTTTAGGGTGTGCGCCTTTTTAGGGTGTGCGCCTTTTTAGGGTGTGCGCCTTTTTAGGGTGTGCGCCTTTTTAGGGTGTAGGAGTACCGGAAAAGACGAGTTAGAACCGGTGTTAACTCTGGAAGACCCATCTTCAGCACAATAGGATGGACTCCATCAGGCCTATTCAACTTGTTTATGAAGAGAAGAAGAGTACTATGAAAACTGAGCGCTGTGTAAACTGCACCATCCAGCATGGAGCAATCACACCGCGAGGTGGTCGGCGGTAAATAAAGAGTCGAGTTGGACTCAAAAAGAGAACCAAAATGATCGACTTTCTTGTCTTCGGCATGGGCCATTGAGTTGTTCTTCCTATGAAGAGATGGAACAGACGGCTAGCAGAAGTTCCCTTGGACAGCTTTGGTAAACACCTTATTAAAATAAGAGGCAAAGGAGGGAACTTGAGCAGTTTAAAATCTTTTAATAATATCCAGTCATTGAACGAAAGACGAAAGGTACAAAATAATTCAAAGTATTCCAAAAGAATGAAAGAGCATCAAGTGAAATATTTGAAGTACTTACTATTATTTATTAAGAATATTATACAAAATTTTGTTCTGTACATAAGTGGTGCTTGCAAAGACAAGCTCAGAGCCCCTTCGAACAATGCGCCTTAGGTTTCGACCTAGTTTCCCTATGAATGGGTTCCCCCCTTGCCATGGCGGGGGGTTTAGTAGCCCTGGCATGATCACTCGCGGTGAACAAAGAGAAATCCACATGGCTGGCCCGAGGTGTGAAGGGTTAGCCCGTGGTGGCCACTCCGAGTGGGCTTGGTAAGTCCACTTCGGATTTGTGCTGGTGGGCTGTGGCGAGTGGTGTGTCCTCTCCAGCTACTGCTGCAGCCCAGGTGAAGTCGCGAAGGGAGAGGAGCGTTGGTACGGCAATGCGCCACTCGCCCTACATTCCGCGGCTCAAACGAGGCCGCACCAATGATGCGGTAGTGGTGGGGAAGAAGAGTGTCGGTATTGCGAGACTCTACTCCCTATCCTCCGCAGCTGAATCTAGGTTGGCATTGAAATTTACAAGAATAAGTCGATAAAAAAATATCACCAAATCACTATTAAAACGTGTACCTTGCAGGGACTTCATAATGAAAAGGTGTAAAAGTTATATCAAACTTGTTATTTTTTGGGTCATGTTGAGAGCACATTTTATAAATTCATATTTTTGTCTTGTAAAAAAATAGAACAACCGCTCTTGGGTCGTGGCCACCCTAGCCAGTGCGCAACGAGAGTTCTATGAGTTATGACGTTTGTTGTTGTTCTAAAATTCTCCTCGTTTTAATATTAATTCGTTTGTGGCGGCGCTGTCGTCGCGCCGCAAGCGAAACACACCGAAGCCTAAATCACACTATCAAAATTCCGAATCATATACAGTATATATAGAACATCTCCGAACTATCACACGAAGTGTTGGCCGCTCCCCGGGCAGAACTGCAAACGGACTGACTCCAGATCAGAAGGTTGCGTGTTCAAATCACGTCGGGGTCACCACTCGCGGCCAACACTCCGTGTGATAGTTCGTAGATGTTCTATATATACTGTTTATGATTCGGAATTTTGATAGCGTGATTTAGGCTTCGGTGTGTTTTGCTTGCGGCGCGACGACAGCGCCGCCACACGTTCAACAATTGTGGGGATTCACCCTACTATAAGAGACGGTCTTAAGGGTACCAAAAAGTTCTAAACGCAGTATCTTCTTACGTAGAACAGAGATTTGACTCTGGGTCGAATTATCATCGACTAAGTTCTGTCCGATCGACTAGATCCACTGGATACGTGAAAATACTTTGCATTTCCTAGAAGAAGGGTGTTACTCTATATGGTGTACACGTACACATAGAGCAACACGGGCCACTGGCGAACAGTAAGGGAGTAACCACATACAGGTTTTCCCCATTGTCAGAGTATAAGTACAAGCGGGCCTATGCGTACAATAAAACTAGTTACTAGTTGCAGTCGCACTGCTCACTAGACTCAATTTGGTTGCGCGGCTGAATCGACGTCCCACAAAAAAAGCCATATTGTCTAGTTACACTTACTGAGTATTTAGTATTAGAAATTGTTTATATAAAGTTACTGAGTGTTAAAGTGATTGAGTATTGAATAAAATTATTGAATTAAATATAATATAATTGACTAGTTTGAATTTACAAAAAGAGATGGCGTTACCTTTCATATAAAAGTAATTTTTAGTCACATTATTGCTATTTACTTCTTTTTAAACTTAAAAAATACAATAAAAACGGTCGTGTTGTTTAGACATACTTTCTACTATGGTTTTGGATTTGTCTAACAACACAAGCCGCACTGATGCGAGTCTAAATTCAAGCTGTCGCTGTCACCAAGGGATACTGTTATAATGTATTTGGTTATTATATATATATATATATATAATGTAATAGATGTAATGTATTTAGTGTGTATCGTTAAATGTTGCTAGGTCGAGTCGTTTAAGACGGCAACCAAACCGCTACTGAAAATTCTTAAGCTGCGTACAGACCGGCCAAACGAACGCCAACGAACGGGTTTCGTTGATCTTCGTTGCTGCAATATGGACGGCTTAGCGAATGCCAACGATCGCTCGTTGGCGTGTGCCGGCGATCCGAAGCGTGGCGGTAACATCAAAGAAATCGAGCTATTTGATCGAACTCTGTTTGGACGGTCGCCGAACGCCGAAGGCCAACGAACGAACGCTCAGTTGAAGCAAGAGAGCGTAGCGTGTAGACGTCCAATTTGATAATTACTTGGATATTTCCCGCCATTTAGATCATGGAGAAAAACAAAGAATGGAGTAACGACGATTTGTTTTTATTAATAGATTTGTATAAATAGAAGCCGTGTCTTTGGGATCCAACAAATAATGAATATAAATTGAAAGCGAAGAGAAGTGACTGCTGGCTAGAAATTGCTGACATTCTTAATTGCGATGTCTCCATCGTCAAAAAGAAAATGGAGTCATTGTTGACTTTATTTCGACGAGAGCGGCAAGAATGTGAGGAAACAAAAATCAGGTAAGTGCCTATTAAAGCTTGCAATACCTATACCTCTTCTTCTTCTGACTCCCATCTGACCTCCGTAAACTAAAAGGAAACCATAACCAACCCCAGGATAGAAATAGTGGCACCAGTTACACGGTGCCTTATCCCTTTATCGATTTTTTCTTGGATGTTTATCTATACATGTATTTGATACAAAGTATAGTATTGTTGAGTTAGTATCCCATAGTACAAGCCTCGAACATATTTTTGGGATAGCTCATAGTTTGGGGCTAGCTCAATCTGTGTTATTTGTCCGTATATATTTATTTATTTATTATTTTTACGATCTGCACGAGAAGAGAAGCAGCTGGCTAATTCTATGTTTTTCTTACACTCCCAGACAAGTATGGGAGACATTTACATTGCAATCCTATATCTATGATAACTATATATACCACCTACACAATGTGTAAACTCAAAGTATGCCAACCCGCTCGGGTGGTGACTCGGAGTCACGAAGGTTGTCAATAAATAAATAAATACGGACAAATTAGTGACAAATTACTGTGTGTATACATAGTTTCATTTCTGGGAACATATGAATTTTGAAATAAAGCTAAAACAAATATTTTAATATAATATTTTATTTTATTTCAGGTGCCGGTTTCGACGAAATTTACTGTTCAACATGGTTTGAGTTTGAAAAAATGAAATTTTTGCTAGACAAATTTAGTCCGCGTCCGACACAAGATACATTGGTAAGTATAGATAAAAAAATGCCTTCAGTTTTATGTATATCTATTTTGCTAAGGTACTTGGCCTACGGTGGAAAAATATTCCGCAAATTCATTGCGTATTTGCTCAGTACTTAAAGCAGATCTTTGTGGAACGTTCAGTAATGGAAAATATGAAGCAAGTTGGTCTTCATTTATTCTTCGCCAAGAACCCAACGTCACAGTCCCACGATCATCATGATCAAAAGTTCCCCTGGGTGTATAAATACATCTGGATAGCTTGCTTTTTCTTAAAAAGTTGTGTAAATATACACAGGTCATTATTACTGTTGTAGCTCGTTCTGGTTCAAGAAGCATTGGTTTTCGTAGAACTCTGAATACGGATGATAGAATTCCAAAGGCGTTTTTCACAACTCTGCGAGCTCTACTTAATCTGTAGTTAAATAGTCTTTTTACTGATCTGGACTCTTGATGTCCTGAATAAGGTTTCATAATATGCTTTTGAATAGGGAATGCATCGTCGGCCACTAAGGCAAAAGGCATTTCCATCTGACGATACGGAAGAGCGACATCTGGTGGCAATCCTAATTAATTTCCTTGCAGTTTCTCGTAAAATTTTGTGTTTCTAAAAACACCACCATCTGAAATACTCCCTTGGGTTCCAACATTCACATATATAAAACAGTAGTTTGCATCTACTATTCCCATTAATACAATACTGAAATCAGACTTGTAATTGTAGTAGTCACTGCCTCCATGTATGGGATTTTGTAACACGCAATGTTTGCCATCGAGTGCCCCGATACAATGAAGGAAATTCCAGTTTAGGTCAAACATATCTGCAAATTTTTTCCAATCTTCACTGTTTGAAGGCATCTGCAACAAAAAACATTAATTTATGCTCACATAGGTATTTTATTCGTTTTAATGAAAATGTTGTTAATAGATTATTTTATATTTATTTCAGAATGATTCCAATGAAACCCAGGAAAATATTATGAGCCGTGATTCAGATCATTCTGCACCTAGTACAAATAAAATATTTAAATCACCAAATAAATTACAACGACGGAAAAGTAATACGTTTGATCAACGAGCAGAAGAAGCCTATAATAATATGCAGGAGGCTCTTAAAAAACGACGTGATAGGGACCAAAGTACTACATTTGGAGAGCATGTTGCTAACAAACATAGATCATATACAGTTCGCGTACAAGGTGTGTCGTCGAACATTTAATTAGTAATATTCTTTTTGACGCAGATATAGGCAAATATGAAAATTATCCATTTATTACACCGACTTCTAATTATTTGCAAGAGCCATATTACATAAGTCAATCTCCAGCTCGTTCAGATTCAACAACACCGACATCGCCTTTTCCCGTTGAGCAGCAGCCATCAAGAACTCCAACACCAACGATGACATCCTTTACCGTTCATCAGCTGTCATCAAGAACTCCAACACCAACGTTGCCATCTATTTCATCGACATCAACTTTGATGTCTCCCTATCAGTATCAGATTTCAAGAACTTCAATACTGAATTTGCCAACTAATCAGTCAATTTCAAGTACTGCATTGCTAAATTTCCAAGGTCAAGGACCACAACTGGTTAAATACTCGAAACAAAGTAGTTCTGGAAGCTGTGGTTCTCGATCTGGACCAAAAAAAGTTACTGTGCTTCGCTCATTAATTGTCAAAAGATCAAAGAATAATCTTCAAAATATACCACCCAATGAACAACATCTATCACCGGAAGAGAAATATATATCACCCGAAGAACAAAACGTCGTACCTAGGATCGATCCCAGTTTTATCCAGGACGATTTCACGGATATTTCTCAAGAAGGAAACACTGATCATATAGTTTCATTTAGTAATAATTTCATTCCTGAATAAATCTAATAATAAAACATCATTTAACTTTTTATAATGATAAGAATTTCATGTCTTAGAGCCATGTCATGACATGACAAGAGTAAATGTTTAGGTTGATTTATATAATAAATGGAAATGGATGAAAACTAGAATAATTTGTTTTAATAACTTATGAACACTTACTTGGATATAATTTTTCATGGCTTTTGTGATAGCTTCACATACTTCTGGAACTATTGAAGATATCGTTTGTTTCGAAATCTTTAAAAGGTATGCAAGGCTTGTATACGAGTCCCCAGTGGCCAAAAATCGTAATGTGACGGCTAATCTCTCCTTTACTGGAATCGCTTCGCGATAATTTGTATTTTGTTTTGATATTTCCGGTCCAATACTATTTAACAATCATTCAAAATCTTGTGTAGACGTTCTGCTAAAGTTGTCAAATAAACGATATCGTTTTCTACTTGTAAATCTGCAATCATTTTACTTCCACTATACACAGTCCCATTCTTAAAATATGTGGTTGTCCACCATCTTCGCTTACGTTTATTTTTTCTTGTTCTTGCTAACTCATTTTGGTATATAAAACTAGCAATTATAATGATATCGTCGTCTTCCATGATTAAATTGCGAATGAAAGAGAAAAGAACCGGAATCAAGTGCCAACGAACGGTCGTTCGAGCACTAAATGTATTTGGATGTATTAACGAACTCCAACGAGCGTGCGGAAGCCAACGCTAGCGAACGATAAATATCCATCGTTGGGCGTTCGTTGGGCCGGTCTGTACGCACCATTAGAAGAAATTCTTAGAACCACTGCCCTGCTCCTATCGTTGGGGAAGAAATGACCTCGCGTAGCAGCCTCGTACCGGTAAGTGAAATGTAGGGCAGCTGCCCACTATAATATTATAGATGAATTGACGACCTGATAAGAGATGCACGAAGTCAATGGATGTAGGTAGCTCAGAACCGTGTTCCGTGGCATTCTTGGGCACTAGTGAAGGGCTGTGATGATGACAATACTGACTTAGAAGGATACTTCCTTACGTCTTCTCAATTATCGGGATTATAATTGCGAAATGTTTCGTAATTATTATAAAAACTGGAAATTATGACGCTACGTTTTACTAGCGTCATTTTTCATAAACGCCTCTCATTACTACTATCTACCTATTATTTGTGTTTGTTCATATGGAACGTTATATAACGGAAATGTTGATTGTTATCTATATTTAGATGATGTTCGCATGAATCAGCAGGTACACAACATTCTTCTCTGACTGAATGTTGGCATCAGATTCGAATCATCTTACATTTTTTATTAAAGAAGTAGTAAAGATAATAAAGGAGAACATAGTTCACCTCTGTGAATGCTGTGGCCCATAGACAGATTTACACTAGTTTTTTTGCGGATAGGCAAACTTAATTCTGCGGGATTTAGTATATATTATTATATTATATACTTTGTATCATAGATACAACGTAGGTTTTGATATGACCCCTTTTACCGGTAACGAGGCATTCCATTTTAGTCTTCAAGTACACCGTAATCACACCTGGAAACTAAGATGGAATACTTTGTAAAAGGATATCTTATCCTCGATTAAGATTTATATGCGTACATAAATATAATACAGAAAGTTAAAATATTTCCCTCTTTTTGGGCTCTGCTCATCTGGATAAAAACATTAACTCAATGTAATAAGTAGTTAAAACCAGTCAGTTTTGCCACACTTAACGGCTTAACATTGATGTCATTGAAAGCTATTTATTTCTGTCGTGCTTAAAGAACACCATTCCATTTTCAGTAATAAAATTTGCTCATTTATACATGTCGTCGATAAATTACCATGAAAAGTATTCGACACATGTAATGTATTGTAACAAAAATTAAAAATTATGGGCCTTTGTAGAGCACATTATGTAAGCGTTGATATTCAAATTGTTTGGTTCATACTTGATAAATTCGTAATATAAAACTACTTTATATATTCGTTTTATTGCATCACAACCTATAAATGTCTGAACAGACCCCCATAGATTGCATCATAGGTGTTTATAAGGTAAGTATAAGGATATATGCCATAGTTGTCACGTTTGGCAAACATGTCCTCAGCATCAGTTTTTTATAATTCTGAGTCGTTATAAGGAAGATGCCGTAGGAATGTAGAGAAACTGGTAGCACCAGCTTGTGTTTATTCCTAGTATTTACAGAGTGTGTGTCACTTTTTTTTATTAAAACTACTTTTATTTAAAAAAATCATAGATATACTGAGAGGCCAAAGTTAACATGTTTTCTCTAAGAGACTCCCTCGGTACAAGGTTGTAAATAGCTCTAATGGCCCTCTTCTGCAAAACAAAAATAGTTTCTAAATCAGCCGAATTCCCCCATAGCAAAATTCCATATGACATTATGCTATGAAAATAACTGAAATAAACTAATATAGCTATCTCGACACTAGTGAGATCTCTAATCTTTTTTATAGACCCTATTTTGTTTCAGTTTCCCGTTTGTCGCCACTTACGGCAAACATGAGACGATGTAGGGTGTTGTGGATATTCTTGCACCGCCAACAAACGGTAAATGGTAGTTTATATTGTTATATTTTTAATTGTTGTGTCTTAACTACGATTAAAGTTTTTTTTTATAGTATAAGGGTGAAAAACTTGCACACAGTACACCTGATGTGTAAGTGGATGTGGTGGCCTATAGACATCTACATTTATCTTCGATTAAGAATCAAAACATAGATGCGTTGTCATCTCTGAGCACTAAGACGGAAAGCTCGTTTTCAGTAAAAAAGGGTCTTCGGATCCCTACACTCATCATACAAAACACAGCAGTATTAAGCTGCTATTTTGCGCTGGTATTCTGTAAGAGCGTGGTTCTTCCCCGGTCGAGCCGACCCTTTCGTGCTGCAACCATAATATGACTGCAGCGTCACCAATGTCCTGCTTGGGCCTCCACAAGATATCTTATACAGGGGAAATATTTCATAGTAGTCACGCTTGGCCGGAGGTTAAGTAACATTAGTTTTTATTATTTGAGCTTTGAACAGAAAGACGCTGTTGCTCAGCTCCTGCAAGAAATATTCATTATTATATAATTTACAAATGTATATAACATTTTCCTTCATATCAATAATACTTTATGATATGTGATGATCATCGAAAGAGCGGTTTAAGTAGCAACGATATATTCCATTTTAGCCCTTAGGGGTTGGGACATCACATTCCGCATTTTGATTTTTTATATTATAATAAAACGATGTTCAATGTTCGTGTCGGACTTAAAGAAGCGTATATTTTGCATAGTTTTTGCTGACTTTGTTAAATTTGACATTGTCTGTTAAATTTCGTACTTTACATTTCAGTTCGCATATTTCTCGGATTTCTTTAAATAAAACAGACTCTAGTTAATAGCCGAGACTAATTAAATACATTTATGTAAGAAGACGGTTTAAAATAAGTAAACATGTTTTACCTTGAACATATACCTCTTAAATTTCATCAGTAATTGACCATTAATAATGGAGAAAAGTTTAATAAATTTATATACACATCATTATTTAAAATGATTTCCGTAATTAGCTCTACGTTTTTTTGTATCTTCGCGTGTTGTTCTAATTTTGCATAAAACATTTGTCAGAAGAACATTTATAGTAGGAAATGAAATAAAATGAACGTAATATATTTTAATATATTTTATTACCTTTATCATTATTGACCTTGTGTGTATGTTGTTGCGCAATAAATTAAAAAAAATGTTTTATTATTATATTTTTCTAACTTTTTACCCGCTCCTGCACTAGAGTGGGCTTCAATTTTGGAACATTACTTACTGATAATACTCCGAGCGAAAATCAGTAAAATTGGATCACTTGTAGAGTCACCTCGATGTCTGTACCTCTATGTCTATTTATGACATATATATTATTTATGACATGTATATTTTTTTGATTTCACAACCACTATTGGACATAGATGGGAGAAATTTAGCATAGATTTATTGTGCTACAAGAGCACGTGATTATGTAGGTATTTTACAATTTCATTAATAATATACGTCCAGCAACTCCTACCAATTTTTAATAGATGGTCATGTCTGGGACTAGACTTTAAAATTTTATAAATGTAGCTGTATTTACGGTGCAGGTGACGGAAACAACATTCATGAAGTAGAAATATATTCGCCTTTCACCCCTTGCTCTTTCACATCCCCTATCCCGTGTACCGTGGGTATCGTAAAACGGTAAGGAGAGGGAAACTGAAGCAGGAGATGGCCAGCAGAGCGCTTTTTGATAATAGCTCAAAATTATAATAAGCTGCAATTTCAAACTCACCTGCAAACCGATGCAATTAGGGGCACAACAAAAAATGGAACATCTCCGAAAATATGAATGAAATAAAAAATGCATAATTAAAAGGGAAAAAGTTGCAGCACGGGCCGCAGTTAGTTTTGGGACTAACTTCTCAGATATGCGGGTTACCTCAAAAAACATCCTTCACCGCCAAGAAGGTAAATCGACACATCAAATTACAATTTAGATATGAGTGGTGTCGGCGTGAATCGAATTTGGGTTGCTTACGAACTATAAAATTTACGTTTGGATTGATTTGATTACCGGATTTGAAAAGTAACCTTCAAACTTTCAAAATATAAAGCCCATATGAGTTAGTGTTTCGTAAAAAATGTATATTGCCAAGTAATTTACAAAATAGTACAATAGATACACTTTATAATTACGACAGTTATCTCTAAGAATTAAAATATAAGTTAAAGAAAGCTCAGGCAGATGCAAAAGAAAATTTGATTGTAAACAAACTACGTAGAAAATCATTGTATGATAGTAATATGAACGATGTTGTATATAGTAAAGGATCTTCTTATATTGTACTTTTGAAAAATCAAACAGGCGATAAATTACAGATCTAAAAATTATTTAGAATGGAAAAGAATACATTACGCATAAAAATAATACTACACTATTACGTAATTACGTAATTGTTTATTTTCTTTT